AAGCAGGGGTTCTTGTATGGTGGTGGTCCTCGTCGTCGTCTGCGACTGATATTGAGGTCTTGTCGAGTGCGGTGACACGGGTTCGGTGTTTTGCCTCCACACATATGGTGCTTCAAAGACAGAGGATCGGGAAATTATGGCATCTATAGGTGAAGTAGAAACTTGCTGAATCTGAACAGAAGAGAGAGATCGGAGTGGAGTAGTTTCTCGGGACAGAGAGAGCGGCAGAATGAGAGTCAGAAATTTCGAAATTTCTGATGGATGGACTCGATGATGACACGCGTCGCTCTCTGAATGGTCCATCTTAAATTTGACATTGCAAAACTGTTGTGCCCAATATTTTCTCGTGGTGTTCGTGTTGTTGATATAAAAAAGATTTTATGCGTTCTCAGTGTGTTGGGGAGGGCAATGAACTGAACTAAGCGTGTAGAGTAGGAAAAAAACAAATGATAAACTGAACTAGGAACTTCGGACAAAGATTAACAAGGCCAGGAACGGTCCATTGTCGGACCGGACTGCAAAGGCGCGGTCCGTGTTCCCTTTCCCTTAGAATAAATAATAAATAATATTAGAAAAGTAATAACGAATTCTTTATGGTTGTTTCGCCGGTTTTTACTCCGTCGAAAATCTTTCACCGAACGCTGCTTTTCGGATTTTATTAGGAGAGACCAGGGTCTTGAGTCAAGCTTAGACAGAGAATGTCAAATGCGTTTATTAATCCCAATAGATCTTACACCCTGACTTGATATGATGCCAAACTCGACAATACTAACAATGAAATGACAATTAAGCTATGTCGGAATCTAATCAACGACACAACTAATATGCGATATTATCATTCAAAGTACGCCAGAATTTAATCAATGACGTAACTTGAGAGAATATGGCTAGAATCTAATCAACAGCTATACTCCAAGCACAACGCCGGAATTTAATCGACGACGCTGAACTAGTGGCACAACATTGGAATTTAATCAATAATGCTGAACCTGATAAAGACCCTTGTCGGAATTGAATCTACGACAAAGAATCTGAAAGCTGCAACTAAAACTACTCCTAAGCTAAGGATAAAGGCTAGATAAAAGATGTGTTGTGTTGTGTTTCTTTTCGAAGTCCCCTCTACGTTGGAAATCCTTGAGTATTTATAGAGCAGCTTGATAACTGTTGACCGAACACTTCTCCTTAAAAGTCATTTTCCACTTCCTTACTTTTCGCGCTTCAACCGTTTCCTGACTTATCGACGTTGCTTACGCTCTTTGGGCATCACGTAATAGCTAATTTTATTCCACGTGTCATTCTTTAACTTCTTTGATCTTCACCACCACGGTCATATCTTTACCTTTTGACACGTGTATGTATTACCATGATTCCGTGCAAAACTCGTGATTTTGGACTTTATCGACGTCACGTGCAAAGCTCGTGATCTTAGATTCGTCGACGTCACGTGCAAAGCTCGTGATCTTGAATTTGTCGACGTCACATGAAAAACTCGTGATCTTGAACTCATCGATGTCACGTGCAAAGCTCGTGATTTTGGACTTTGTCGACGTCACGTGCAAAGCTTGTGATCTTGAACTCATCGATGTCACATGCAAAGCTCGTGATTTTGGACTTTGTCGACGTCACGTGCAAAGCTCGTAATCTTAGATTCGTCGTCGTTACGTGCAAAGCTCGTGATTTAGGATTTGTCGACACTTTTATGACGTGTCCTGTCGATAATTACCTTAGGTCTTCTTAATGTCTCTAGGTCTGACTTGCGGCCTTTTTCGGATTTTCGCCATGTGGGCCGTGCTTTATATCTTTTTGTAACTTGTAACCGGCCCGCTCTCACCAGGGGTAATTTTGGGTGTCAACATATGCCCCCTTTTAAAAAGGAATAAATTTGAATTTATTTCTTTTAAATATGTACCTTGTCTGTGTATGAATCCCTAGGCGATAATCATGCTTTTCTGTCCCTTGACGTCTTTTCGAGCAGTCCATGCGAATTCTTCATCCAATATCCTTTGGACACATCACCTGGTATCTTCTTCGAACAGTCGTGACTTTTCAAATCGTCTTCTTCACCCTTCATCCTTGTCAAAGCTTCGTTTCACCGCCGCGTCTTCTTCTCTAACCCTAAAAATCCTTTCTTGAACCCTTTTCCGATCTTGATCCATCATTTCTTATGGCGTCCAAAAAGTCTGAATATTCAGCCAACGATTACATCGCAGCTTTTGATAAGTTTAAAGATGATCCACGCGCTGGTAATTACTTTTTCATTTACTGAAAACTGTCGAGGATGAATGCAACTGTTTTTCTCTGGGCCCCAGTTTCATGGACCATCTCAATATACCTGTGAATCTCCAATTCCATTTCCCGTATAAGCATAGTGAGACTTTGACACTGCAACATTCTTCTATTATGGAAGTGTGGTTCACCGGGTCTTCTCGATTTCGAAGTTTCCCTTCTTACGAAGAGGATTTTCACAAATGGTTTATTCGGTTGAAGGTTGACCAAGAAACTCGACTTTTATGGACAGCTGTCGGAATCAACATTGCTCTCGAGGTCAGTATGTCATCTTATGACCTGGAACGTGGGTTATTGGGCTCCGCCATCACTTTCTGGTCCTCCTCCAGCAACTGTTTCTTTTTTCCTTGGGGACACATGTCCATCACTATGCTCGATGTGTTTGCCATAGCGGGTTTTGAATTGGTGGGTCATGCCGTCGAGGATTTGTCTATACTGTCCACTCCTTTTATCTCTGAAGATGCTCTGGCATACAGCAATTTCTTGTCTCGATTTCACCGAGCTTCGAGTCCTGTTACCCAAGATGAGCGTCTCTTTTTCTTGCTCTTTTGGCTATCAAAATATGTGTTTTTTAGTCCTGCCCTTAAAGTTTGCAAAGACTATCTGCAAATTGCCGCAGCCTTAGCCATGGGACAACGCCTCGCATTGGCCCCTCTTGTTCTTGCAGTTTATATAGAGGCTTTACTCACGCCTCTCGGGCAATGAAATTCGGGGATTCTGGAACCATCTCGGGTGCTTTTTGGATACTTCAAGCATGTATGGCTTTGTATTTCCCTTCCCTTTTCAGTAGAGGTGTTCGTCACCTTCCCCATCTGTCTCTGCAAGGGTATAGAAGACCTGTACCTCTACCTCTGGGCCGTCGATTGTTGAACTGTCCCCCTCGACATATTGCTTCTCAAGCGCCTCCTTTCATCTTCTATCTTCGAGCTTTTCTTGAACTGAATCATGACCAAGTCATTTTCTTTAAGTATAGCCATGGAGGGTTCGATTATTTGTTTGATCCAGCTCGATTCAACCTCTATAGGCCTTTCTGGACTTGTGCTTTGTCTGCGGTAGATCTTCCCATATGGACTTCATTGAAGGGTCGATTCTATCCTAGGTTTGAGGTATATTCTCCACAATATTGTGCTAGACAATTTGGACTCTGGCAACCAATTCCCATGCCAATTCCTTATTCAATGGGCTTCTCGGAAGGAACCAAGAAGAAAGAATACTCTCTCAAAAATCGAAGCCCACTTCTCTGTTGTATTGAAATTGCTAACACAATGGGCACCCATTATAGTGCAGATCTCCCTAATGGTTTCAAAGCCCGTCCAGGACACCTTGCTGAGTGGCAAACCTGGTGGTATTCCTTTGCATTTGAAAGTACATATGAAGAGGCCCTCCGATCTGCAATTAGTCATGTGAAGCGGAATGGTTCTAAGAAACCGATTACCCAAGGTATAAACACCACCACTCTATGTCCCTGTTCTGTTCTAATCCAGTGCATATTCTAACTTTCCATTTCTTAACTCAGAAACAGAAGAAGATTCTGACGCAGAGGGTGTCGATGCTGCAGAAAATCCTACTGATGGTAAATCTTTGTCTTTTTTCTTCTGTGTCGGCTCACTTTATCCTTTCAGTTGGTTACTTATAAGGTATTTCTCCCTTTTGAATCGTCTCTGGAATAAACAAAGAGGAAACGTTGGAAGAGATTGTATCATTGCTGAGAAGGAAAAGGAAAAGATCTTCTCCTCCTTCTCCAAGAAAGAAGTCCAGCACTTTATCTGTCGAACCATTTGCTGAATCGGTTGCACGCGATGCGGTTTCTTCACAACCCATTGCTTCTTTGGAGAAAGGTCCAAGAGATAGTATCTCTGTTCCCACAATTCAGAATCCTGTTACCACCTTGGCATCTACTGGTCTTTCTTCTGTTGAGCGGGTTAGCAACATCTCAATTCCATCAACTGGCATTTCTAGCACCACACCGGTCGCAACCGCCTTGATATCTTCCAGCGCCTTTGTTACCAATTCGATGCCATCCCGAGTATAGCTCTTCATTCAGCCTAGTTCATCCACTATTGTGACCTCTGGTAAACTTTTGTTTTTGTCTGGCATATTCTGCTCGTCTTGTTTACTGGATTTATTTATTCTTCTTTTCTTTCCAGTTATACCAGCAATTGTTCCTACTTCTCCACTTGTCCGAACTGCTCCAATTCTTGATTCCACCGTAGGAACCACTGTCACTCTTAATATGGTTAGACACGAGACAACTATGCCTGAAACAGGTACGTGTCTTTCAAACATTACGTTGTCTTCAATTCTTATCTAATCCTGATACTGAGATGTCATTCCGGTTTCACAGCATGTGGTCCATCGACAAGTATCATGGTTCAACGGACCACTATTCCAGCCACTGTGGTCAATCCTTCCACAGTCTCACCGTCGACGTCGACTCCAATGTTCGTAGCTTCGGCTCTCACGACTAATTCTGCTGAGGCTTTATCATCGGCGCCTGTCTCATCAACTCCTGATCATCAGTCGACTACCGCTTATACGGGCAAAGCAATGCACGCTATAAACGAAGCTGAATTTATTTTGGCATTTAATCCATACGACTTGTCGCCTTATTCTAGTCAATCAAACTAGCCATTGTCAAGAAGAAGATGGAATTGACGCGTTTTTTAGACTTCTCTGTAGGAGGATTTGCGAGGATGTTGTATGATGCCGCGGCCTTAGAGCAATTTAAACTCCTCATTGAGCATCTTGGGAATGACAATGCCGGAGTTGGATCTATTCTTCCTTTGGCACTCAGGGAACGACTCAAGATTTTCTCCCAAGAGTTTCAGACTATATTCGATAAGTACCAATAACTTTTGGGCCATGTACGAGAGATGGCCATTCCTACAGAAATACATGAAGAGCCGGCTAACATTATGAAGGAGGCTAGTGAGACAGTAAACACTTGTCGCGAATCCCTTCGGGCTATTACGGACGAAGTAAGTGTCCTTGTCGAGAAGGAAAGGCGTCTTATAGCGGTCCTCGAAGAGACTCGTCGACGGCGAGAGATGAAGCTTTGTCAACAGGTAAAAATTGAGCAAGAACTACATCATCATGTCGGTGTTTTGAAGAACTTGAAGCAACAAGAGCACATGCGAGTATTGAACTCCGCAATGGAACATCGTCAAAATAGAAGCGCATGTATTTCAGAGATGAGTAGACTAGAATCTCAGTTGTTTTTGCTCCAACGAGGGATTCACGACTTTCTGTCGGATAAACCTTCTTCTCCTCAATAAAATACCCTTATTTTCATTGAGTGTCCTACGTGTGCCACGATCATTCATAACCAATTTTTATAATGGATCCCGAACCTTGCGCCTTCGTTCATGTGCATGTCACCAGTTAGTGGGCCTAACTCATCGGCCAAATAGACTAGTATAAACACCTAATAGCCGTTAACAAGCTTCACATCCCTTAGCATAACTTATGCAGTCTCGGGTAATAGTTGGCCAAAAGTAACCATGTCGACGGAGTAACCACTTCATTTTTATCCCTGATTGATGAGCCCCACATATGCCTTCATGAACCTCGGCCATTGCTATCACAGATTCTTGTCATCCCAAACATTTGAGCAATAGCCCATCCACGGTCTTACGATACAACTCGTCTCCAATCATTAAATAATTGAAGGCTTTTCTTTTGAAGTTTTTATCAGTAGAGACTGGGTTATTGAGATACTCTATAAATAGGGTTCTCCAATCTTGGGTTACTACTTTGTCAACAGTCGTGTTGTCGACAAGAGTTTCTATCGACTGTATAAACATGACTCTATTGTCCATCGATGGTAAGACCTTGGTCTGAGTAATCATATGGCCAACAAGCTCTTATGATATTTTATAACCGGAAGCCATTTGTGCCAAATCATTGGCCTCCGTGTTATGCTCTCTTTTAATATGGATCAACTCAAAGTCGTCAAAGTGATTTAGGAGCTCTTTGGCCAGTGAATAATAAGATATAATATTCTTGCTAAGACACTGGTACTCTCCAGATAATTGCTTTATCACTAATTGAGAATCCCCTATAACTTTAACGAAACGTATTTTCATATTGGCCAAGATGTTTAAGCCAACAATTAAGGCCTCGTATTCGGCCTGATTATTGGAGCATTCAAAATTCATTTTGGACATAAGTTTTGTTTTCTATCCATGAGGGGATATTATCATGATCCCAGCCCCAATAGATCCAGGAGTACTGGATCCATCGAAGTAAAGCTGCCATGGGACTATGTGAACGTATTCCTCACAACTTTCATCTCGTGCTCCAGGATATTCCGTAATGAAATCTGCTATGGCTTGTCCTTTTATTGCTTTAAGTGGTACATAGACTAGATTTATTTCGGTCAAAGCAAATGCCCACTTGACAATTCGGCCTTTAACAATAGGCCGAGTCAACATGTACTTAATTACGTCTATTCTACATATCACATGTACCGTAGTCGGCAGCATATAATGACGTAATTTTGTACATGCATAAAACAATGACAAGCATAGCTTCTCAATAGCAGTGTATCTTGTTTCAGGATCGTTCAACATCCGACTCAAATAATACACCGCTTGCTCTTTGCCTTCACCATTCTCTTAATCCAGCATGCATCCGATGGTAGTATCGATAGCGGCCAGGTACAATTTCAATGGTTGACCTGCTCTTGGCGGCATCAATACTGGCGGATTAACCAAGTACCGCTTGACTTGGTCAAAAGCATGTTGATGTTTGTCTTCCCATACAAACTCTTCTTGACTTTTCAACTTCAACAATGGGGAAAACACCTCAATTTTTCCTGACAGATTAGCAAGAAATCAACACAAAAAATTTATCTTTCCTAAAATCATCTGAAGTTGCTTTTTGGTTGTGGGGGGTGGTAACTCTAAGATGGCCTTAGCTTTATTCTTATCGATTTCAATTCCTCTTTGATTAACCAGGAACCCTAAGAAGTTACCAGCCCTTACTCCAAAAGCACATTTCAATGGATTCATTTTTAGGTCGAATTTCTGCATCCTAATAAAAGCTTGTTCTAAATAATTAAAATGACATACCTTGTCTGATTTAACAATAATGTCGTCGATGTAGACTTCCATAAAGTCCCCAATCATGTCATGAAAGACGAAATTCATGGTTCTTTGGTAAGTTGCCCCTGCATTCTTTAATCCAAATGGCATGGCGAGCCATTCAAAAGTGCCAATAGCCCCAGGACACCTGAATGTAGTTTTATCGACGTCCTCTTTAGCAATGAATATATGATTGTAGCCTGAATGACCATCCATTAATGACATAATTTCGTTTCCAGAAGCCGAGTCAATTAACATATCCGCCATTGGCATCTGGTACTCATCCTTGGGCGTGGCTGCGTTTAAGTCTCGGAAATCAATGCAGACACGTAGCTTCCCATTCTTTTTCTTTACCGGGACTATGTTAGACAATCACTTGACGTACCATGTCGTTCTAATAAACCCTGCTGCTAGCAATCGCTCGACTTCTTCTTTTACTTTAAGGATAACCTCCGGGGCGAATCGTCTGGGCGGCTGTTTATGAGGTCTGAACCCCTTTTTTATGGGTAGTCGGTGTTCGACGACATCTCTGCTTAATCCTGGCATTTCTTTATAATCCCAAGCAAAACAATCCTTATACTTCTTCAAGAGTCTTATCAACTGAGCTTTGAAGTCGTCATCGATCAACGAACTTATGTAAATAGGACGGTGTTCGTTACCTAGCCCAAGGTTGACCTCTTGTAATGGGTCTTGAGCTTCAATTGATTTTTCAATTTCTTTTATGGGTGACTCTTCAAATTCAAGGATTCCATCGATAGCTTCTGCGGATTGTTCTGCAAGCTCGGCCCAATAGGCCGAGTACCTCTCAATGAGGTCTTTTGACAATATAAGGTTCTCCATGGACAACCTCATTTAATTGTGCTGCCAATTGACTCTTTGGGACCCACTCAACGATCCCTTTGTCGAAACGGCAGAATGCAATACTATTGGGGTCAACGAGAGGTGGCTTACTGATGGATATACTGTCTTTCAATGCCAATTGACGAGTTGGAGATGCATGTGCATAGGTTGTCTGTGATTTGGTGTTTGCTTTGACGTATTTTACCTTATCCCCATTCCAAAATGCTAGCATCCGATGGAGAGTTGATGGTACGTATTGATTACCATGGATCCAATCTCGGCCCAATAGTAAATTGTAAGACCCATCTGCATCAACCACACAAAAGGACGTTTTGGAAGTTTTGGTACCCACGGTTAAGTCGGCAATGAAAATTCCTTTAGCTTCGGAGATTTCTCCAGTAAAGTCGGACAATTGAATATTCGATGAAATAATCTCCTCATCACGCCTTCCCAGTTTCTTGTAGAAACGATATGGGATGAGACTCAGTGTAGATCCCCCGTCCACCAATACTCGAGACACCGGTCGACCATTAACTTTTGCGTTGATATTCAGAGCCCTTAAATGGTTTGAACCCTTGGGTGGAGGTTTTTCAAATTCAACTACCTCCTCTATGTCAAAGTGAAATTCTGCTTTTTCTTTCTCTTCCATTGTAACCTCTGCCGGATGATCTGGCTCCATCGTCATTACCCGAAGGTTCGATGGAAGGCATACTCGAACCATGCAAGAGCTCAACGATGAGATTGATCTTGACAATTGTTATGGTTCGTACCGCGCAGACTCAATGTCTTGCTTTGGTGAAGATTGCTGAGGTCGACCAGATGTCGACGCTTAAATTCCTGGTTTTCGTTTCCAGACTAAATTCTCACGCTTAGGATACTTCGGCTTGACCTTTTGTTCTGCAATCAAGATTGGTTTAACCTGCTTGATGTGAACTTGATTTACCTGTTGTTGGAGCTGATATTCTTTTCTTTTCCTCAGCATTCTCCTTTTTTGAGTCCGCGTCAGATTTGAACTACGATTCTGAGTTCGACTGGCCTCATACCATTGACCTACAAGTGGGTCTCTTGGCACTTTCAGAGTTTGTCGATGTGGTGGATGAGAGTCTGTGTGAAGATCTTCTCGATCAGGGAAGTTAGAACCCCATCCACTTGGCTCGATCTTCCCATTGTATGAAGGTGGTGGAGCATAACTAACATAATAATCATACTTACCACTAGGCTCTCCCAAAGTATCGATAGTCGGATCACCTTCTTCATACCTTTGCTTGAATGACTTAATAGCCTTATTACGGCTTCGATGACCTCTATGATGATTAAAACCCCTAGAAGGAGTTTGTTCATCATATGAATCAATGAGTACCAAATCACGAAATCCGTCAACGACCTTACTAGGTAGACGTCTTCGACTTTTGGAGTAATGTTTCTCTTGTTCCAACAGTCGTTTACACTTTTCGTAAAAACGACATGGCTGATGCCCCCTGGTCTTTATCCTTAATGACACCATCTCTGCCATTACAGGAAAAGGATCGACATCAACTTCCATCGGGGACTTACCTTTGTCTTCAGAGAATTTTATCTTCCCTTGTTTAATAGCTTCCTGGACGTTTCTTTTAAATACAAGACAGTCATTGGTGGCATGGCTCCATGAATGATGCCATTTGCAATACTTCTTTCCCGCTAATTCTTCTTTGGTAGGTAAAACCTGACCCTCCGTCAGCCTGATCTGTCCGTCAGCTAATAATAAGTCAAATATTTCCTCTGTCTTATTGATATCGAAAGAATAAAAAATGGGTTCCTTAGCCTTGGACATGAGGTTGGATTTTTCTCTAACTCTTGCTGGCTTTAAAGCTTTGCAGATGTATGGCTTATCAATCACCATTTTCGCGAGAGCCACATCTGCTATATCTGTTGATTCGGTTTCATCCTCGCTCTCATCAGCATTAGCCCAACGAACTTCACCCCGTTGACCATACCGTTTGTCTTTTTCCTGGACGAGACTTTCATGCTTAGTAGCTATGGTTGACAACTGGAACAGATCTGAATATGGTTGTCCAACCATTCTTTCTCGGATTTCAAACTTTAGTCCATTAAAAGTGAGGTCCGCAAAAGTCTTTTCAGGTAAAGGGACTAAACACTTATTCCTTGCCCTTTTAAACTTAGAACGAACTGATCGACAGACTCATTAGCTAACTGTCTCATGGTTGAGAGATCAGCTACCGACAAATCCGGCACAACCCTTTGAAATTGGCAATGAAATAACCTTTCCATTTATTCCCATGATGTAATCGAATTTGCAGGTAAAGCAGTATACCATGTAAAAGCGGTTTTTGACAAGGATAAAGGAAATAACCTCAACTTTCAATAATCAACATGAGCCGCATCACCACATTGAGCCAGAAAACGATTAACATGTTCAAAAGTGGACTGATCTTTCTCTCCAGTGAACAATATAAATTCTGGCATTTTAAAACCCCTTGGATATGGTATAGTATCCATCCAATCAGGATATGGTTTCCTATAAATGTTTGGGAGGTATCCCATATCGTGGCCAAATCCCCTCATCACAGGGTCCACTACTAATGGATTTCGTACTTGACCCATGACGGGCGCAGGAGCTACAACATAATTCGGTGGCAATGGCTGGTTCAGATTTTGATGAGGGAATTGGTAGAATGGCTGCTGTGGTAACTGTGGCTGTTGTTGAGGTGGTGGCTGTATTAGCTGTGGCATGTTGTGAGCAATCATATGTGGGTTGACTGGTGGGTTTAACTGTGCTGGCAATGGTTGCTAGGCTTGAACATTTGGACCCATAGGGGGTGGAAAATGCTGATTTACGTTAGGCACCGCAGGTTGGGGTGGCTGACGTTGTGGTTGAATGTTTATCTGTTGGATCTGTTCTTGGCCCTAGACAAAGGTGTTGCAAGATTATGAACATCTAGGACTACAGATGGAGGAGTTACTTGGATCATAGGGGGGCCTTGTACCTGAGCAACCTAATGTCCTCTTTGGAGGTTTTCATCGATCATCGATTGTCGAGTAATTCCTCCATTTAAGTCCGCGCTAGTATGCGGTAATCTCTCTCTGTCTCTGTCTCTCTCTCTCTCTCTCTCTCTCTCTCTCTCTCTCTCTCTCTCTCTCTCTCTCTCTCTCTCTCTCATCAGCAAGTCCAATGCCTTGGTGTAGACCAGAGCAGCTTTCTTGATCTCCCCACACCGTAAGTTCTCATTCCCTTCCCTTTCAACGACCCCACCATGGCCTTTCTCTCTCAACCTCCTCCTCCTCTCCACCTTTAAGTCCCATGTCTCCCTCCAGTGCCTCTCGTGATCTCTCTTCACTTCAAATCCCCATACTTGAACTTGTGGTAATCTTGGAGTACCGCTCGTGTGATTCTCTCTCCGACCCCCCCTCTCTATCTCTCTCTCCTCGGCTGCCTTGGAGCTCTGACCGAATCGGCAAGGACCACCACTGCCATGTCTAGGACTCGATGCCTCATATCTGGGTCTGTAAGTAGCAGCAAGGGGCTGTCGATGGCCATGTACTGGCCAATCATCTGATGACCTGGAGAGATTGCATAGGCACTCAATGACTTTGTCTTTAACTCAGCGATGTTTGACCTTCCGAATTTTGGATTGACATAGAGTCCTGATGAGCCCAATCGCACCAAGTGATGATGAGGGTCAATTTACCCCCACATCTCGCGCAATTCCCTCGAAAACTCTCTCTTGCACATCCAGTCAAGACCTCTGTTTTTGCTTTCAAAGCAATTGAGTAAATACAGAGACCAGCACTGAAGCTGGCTCGCCCATTTCTCGGCCTTCGCATCCTCAGTTCCCTTCCCCACGCTCCCCCTTGTCACCAGGTCGACATGGTATCTCTCTCTACCCCCGCCATTTATGCTGATAAACTAGTCGTAGACCACCTCTAGGCAACTGGGCGCGATCTCCGTGGCGAGTCCCACGATTTCTTGCTCGAACTCAACCATGGCTTCGAATGCCTCGTGGTGGTTGGCTATGTACCTGAACGCCTGGACGGTGACTCTACTCAACTCAACTCATCTTCCCTCTCAGGAGCTTCATGAGGCCTGGGACAACCCCGGACTTCACAGCCTTCTCCGCGAGCCGAGCCTTGTTCATGACATATGAACCAATGACGTGAGTGGCATAATACGAAATGTACACGGTTCTGATCTCTCTAAAGCTACTCCTTGTCTTGGACGCCTTAGAGGATCAATCTGGCCAAGCAGTCGAATAGGCCGAGGGACGGGAACTCCTGGTTGTTGGGCTGAGCCATAGCGACGTTCTAAAGGCTGCTCAGGACGAGGACGGTTTGAAGGTCGCCATCGAGGGGTTGTTTTAAGCAAGCGGCGATTCTGGCTCGTTCGAGAGGCAGGTCAGGCTCGTCCATGGCGCAGAAGAAGCAGGGGTTCT